AAATCACCTGTTTTCTAGATTGTATACCACTCACCAACTATGTGAGACACAGAAATTTTCTTTGTCACAAGCCATGAGAAGGTGCTGTTTATCACAGGAGATGAAAATGAAGGTTACAGATTCTGAGTTACTCCAAAGCACAACTATAGCTAATGTGGTTCAGGACAAAACCCCAGAGTGGATAGACACCATGTCCATTTGCCTTTGTCCACACTTTAGCTTGGCTTCTTCCTCTATGAGAGCTCAAGGGTAAAGGAAATGATGCAAGTTCATACACTGGGTCTATGGTAAAGAGGCTGAAAGTGAGAATGGTTAGCACTGATGTCCACAGACATTATCTTGGCCCCATGGCTCCCTGGCACTTTTCCCACTGGGCTGCCTTCTGCAGCCTTTTTTATGAGACTATTCCACAAGACATTTCCTTAGAATAACCTAAAGACCTCTCATTGCCATTTTCCATTACCTACTCCCCATCTCCCTTGCTCTGTGCCAAATTTTCCTCCCGTCTAAGTAGCTCATCCCCTAAGTATCATACTCCTGAGAGTTCAAATATAAAATTGAACTCATAGGATCTGCTCAGGGGCTAAGGGCTTATGCAGAAAGAGGCTTCTATGGCTCTTCTTTTCCTGCAGGAAACAGGACACACTACACAGGAGCCTGTTATAAAGTTCATTTGTCAGCTCAGACAAGAGGCTCTGTTACTGGAAATTTTAAGACAACAATGTTTTGGGATAAACAGGTTAGTAACTCCTACGTTACACTATTTACTGGGTCCTAGTCATCTCATCATTGTAATATTTGGGCGGGACTTTAGTCATAGAGGATAAAACTTACTATCCAGATAAGACCAATTAGAATTTCAAGGGAATTTATGAAATAGAGTTATTTAATTTCACAGAAATAAAAATGTAGTTTTGAAGTTGGAAAATAGTGTAAGTTTCAAGGTAGATCCAATGAGTATGCTGGCTTAGAGTCCTTGAAGGGCACAAAATCATTCATTTCCTCATTCCCACTGTTGTATGTGGATGTCCCCCCAAAGCCTCACACAGTCATGGGGTGGGCTTCTAGAGTTTGTGACTGATTCATGCTCCAGTGCTGGGATTATGGTATAAGTGCTACACCCGCCCTGGGGCAGGCAGGCTGCATACAATGTAAGGGAGGGAAACAGGCTTCTCTCTCTCATCCTCCCTTTTTGTTCTTGTTGCTTTTGCTGTCTTCCCCCTCTACGAACTGTAGTTCCTCTGCCCTGGAGCCAGTTGACTATGGACTGAAACCTCCACAAACTGTGAGCTAAATAAACCTTTGCTTCCTTCATTTTGGGAATTGGGTATTTTGTCTCAGCAATGAGAAAAAAGTAACCAAGACAACCACCTTCTTCTGATTTCTACTTGCTGGTGCTATCAGCCAACTACCACGCCTCCTCTCTCCTCTGCAAGAATTTTGATTTCTGCTAACACAACTTTGCTTATTCGTAACTTCTTCCTACTTGTAATTCCTACACATGGCCCCAACTGTTTCATAGTCTTTGCATGAGTGTTTGCAGTGTCTGCTTTAGATTCTGACTGATCCACTGTAATATTTCTGCTTCAAATCCCCCCAAAGTAGAAGGTACCTGGATCTGTTAATTAACCCGCTGGTTGTTGAAATAGAGTCTTTTTCAGGCATTAGTAAGTACTTTTAATTGCCACCAACAGATATAAATTTGTGTGATTTAAGCAGAAAGGGAATTTATTGAAATGATCAGAGAGAGGCTCAGAAGATAGAGAGAAAGGGAGGCAAAGCAGGCAGAATCACAGCCAAATCAGAGCACAGAATTCGTTGAGCAAGGACTGTGCTATCACTAGACTGTAGGCATGATAATTAGTAACTGATACCTGTGCACTGAAAGCCAGGTATCACTGCCTGCTCCCTTCCCCCTGCTGGTGCTGAGAAATGGACACTGCTGCAATACTACCGCGAAGAGCTCTCCCCGGTTCAGCTTCCTTGCACAGCTACCTTCTAATACCAGGGTTAAGGAATGTAGCTTGGCTTGGCTAAGTCTAGGTCACACGCTCTCACCCAGCGCAGTGTGGGGCGGGTGGGTTGGATAGGAAAGAGCACATGACCTTTGAGGCTTCATCAGTGGGGAATGGGATCTGCCTGCCATTGGATGTCAAACAGGAGAAAATATAGTAAGAGGGCCAGATCATGGGAAGCTGAGAAAAATGCAGAACCTATTATACTCAGGTCCTTCCCTTACAAGCCCATCCTGAACCAATGAACTCCGCTAAGAAGAGCAGAATGTAGCTGCTTATGTAGTGGGAACCTTAGCCAGGGCAGGAATCTTAACTTACCAGTGCAAGACAATGTTGTAAGCAATAAAGCACAGAGATTTGTTTCATGCGCACTATTCACTTAAAGGCGCGTGAGGCATAGTTAACCAAAGTCTGTATTTATGTGTACATCTGTCTTGCTGGTTGGACTGTGAGCATTTTAGTGAAGAAGCTAAAATGCCTAGGGCATTTCCCAGTAGTACAGATGCTTCCAAAATGTCTGTTGCACTACAGATAAATAAATGAGCTTTGCTTCCCCCATCAAGTGAATGGACTCAATTCTTCACTCCTTTGGAGGCAATAAAGGAGCTTTAGACCAGTTCCTAGAAAGGCATTGTTAGTCCATTTACCCCAAAGAATTAAGGAGAAAGAAGAGTTTATAAAGACTCCAACATATTTACATGTTTTTTCCTATGCTGGACATGAATGACCAGCTTTCTTTTTCATTGCCTTTTCTTAAAATTACCCTTAAAAAACTATCACAAGAGTTGGCCTTGTTGACTTTGACAACTACTCCCAGAACTAACATCACCAGAGTTTACTTGCTGTCACAACTGGTGAGCTAGAACAACCTGGCCCCAAAGCAGAAGGTCTGGACAACCACTAATACTAACTATGGTGGGTAGAAGTATTTCTCCTTCAAATATATGTACTAGAGCTTCTGAGTGTAACCTTAGAGGAGAAAAATGTCTCTGCGGATATAATTAAGAATCTCAAAATGAGATCATGCTGGGTTAAAGTGAGCCTTAAAGCTAATGAAAATGTCCTGAAAAGAAAGGGGGAGAAAAAATATCAAGAAAACGACCCCAAGACGGAGGAAGAAAACTGGCATAATGCATCTGCCTGGAGGCCACAGAACATCGGAAGTTGCCAAAATCCCAGAAAAAGGGCTTGCAATAGATTCTCTCAGGGACCTTTGAGGCTCAGAAAGGAAGCAGGTGACATTTCTGAGGCTCCAAGAAAACCAAGTGACATTTTGATTTCTGTTGTTTTAATCCACTCAGTAATGGCTTAAGTGGTCATTTGTTACAGAAGCCCTGGGAAATGAATACGCCAACAAAGTTCAGGAAATGTCAAGAAAAGCCTTACAGAACACACAGAGAAAGACAAGGTTAAAAGCTGCTGGTGCCAGTGCGGATTAAAAAGTCTGCCGGGCAATCGAGAGTCCTCTCGCTCTCACTGAAACGGTCCAGACATCTGCGAGGTTTCTCGCCGCACAAACCGCCTTGGAATCATGAGGCGTCTCAGCGAACCTGTGGGCTGGGGTAGGAATCTTAAGCACAGAGAAATTTGAGGACACTTAGCTTAAAGGTCAACAGATCCGCGTTCTCATACTCTCCAGGGTTCTCTTAGTGAGGTGTGAGAACAGCCAGCCATACTTGACATGGTTTCAGGCCTCACAGAGGACTGACATTTTTATTACGCACTGCAGGGCAAGTGGTATCTATTGAACCCATCATTTCGTGGTTGCTATTGTTTGTGACAAGGTTAAGTAAGAGCACAAGGTAGCGTTTATTAAGTGCACAGCACAACAGTAGGTAGATGGATGTAATAAAGCTCATGGGAGCTGCACAAGGGACGCTCAGAATGAAAATGCAGAGGAGTCCGGGGAGAAACCATTCTCTCGGTCTGCCTTAAAGTATAGCTCCTTTCTCTCTCCTCTACTTGATGTCAGACACAGAAAGCTCCGTGTAGAAGAGATTCACACGACCCATAACTGCCCTGGAGAAGGCAGGGGGAAGACGGCCTTTACTTACCAAAGTGCCTCAGAGTTAAGCCAGATGCCCCTGCCGTGTCTACCCGGACAACACGGGAACACGGGCACAAGTAGCAGGGTCCTAGCATCTGGAGCTCGGTGAGTGGCACAGTGTGTGCAAGTGTCCCCTGAGACTGCGGCAGCGCGGTTCTGTATTGATTCGCTCTCCCAGCGCTCCGGCAGACACGGCTCAGGGCGAAGACCAAAGAGCGGGTGGAGCTCAAGGAGAAAGTAGCCACACCAGCACTCTCCAGGGACTCAGCCCTTCGCAAGCCACACAGCCAACAAGATCGTTAAATGTCAGAGCGAAAGAGACCTCAGACGTCAAATAAGTCAGACCTCTTATCCGAGTGGAAAAAATGGAATACAGAGTCTTGAGAAGGTCACAATCTGACTGGCAACGAAGGGGAGACATCTCAATTAAAGGTAGCTTTTCCAGAGCTCCTTTATGATAGACGGTTCTCTCTATGCCAGTTACCCACAGGGACTTTCATGACTGGCAGTCACAGCCACTGCAATCGTATTCATTCATCTGATGGTTTGGCAGAGGGTTCGGAGGACAGCGGGAAGCGCGCTGAACGGGGAGGCCGGAGTTGGGACCCGTCACAGGAGGAGGCGGATGCCCCCGCGCAGCTCAGTCAGAGCTGGGTGTGCGATGATGCACCCTTGGGTCGTTGCTTGGGGTGCGCCAGAGGAGGACCCATAAAAGATCTAAGAGGAGAACTTGGCAAGAAGTGGATGCTTTCGCCTACGGAGAGAAGCCCCTGTGTCCCAAAGCAGCTGCATCTGCCCCTCATACACCCGCATAAAAGTTAACCACACCACACCCGCCTTCCCCAGATGGGGCTCCCTGCGCAAACGCCTCCTCTGCCTCCGGGATTTTCCAACGGTGGCGCAAGCTCCTCCCTCGCCAGAGCGGGTGTTGTCCTGGCGCCAAGCGCCCGCGCGAGCTGCGGCTGGGGGGCGGCGAGGAGTGGGCCCCGCTGGCGCCATTGGCTGTGCGGCCGAGGGGCGGAGGGACGCGCGGGCTGGGCGAGCGGCGGCCCCGGGCCCTTCCCGCTGCGCCCCTGAGCCCCGCGTTCCCGGGGACCTGCGCGCGTCGCAAGGCAGGCTTGCCGCCCCACTCCGATTCCCGGAGCGCGGCCGAGGTGGTCACGCGTCCAGACCCGCAGGTCAGTAAGGGGCTACCGACCAGGCCAGCGACCCGAGGCGGAGGCGGGGGGAGCCGAGACGCACGGGATGCTGCTGGCGCCCGAGTGGGCTCGCCCTGTGCGCGGGGCACCCCGACTCCTCCTCCAGAGTGGCCTTCGGTGCCCGGGTCTCCGGAGCCTCGTCCCAGACTCTCCCCGGGCTCCGTGCTGTAGAACCCCCACCCGCCCATCCATCCCCGCCGCGGGCTGCTTCCTTAGGGTCCCGGAGCAGCCTCAGGTAGCCCAGCTCACAGGGGCTTAGGGAGACTCCGAAGGCTGCAGCGGGACCGCGAGGGACCCGGCGCGCAGTGTCCTTGGCCCCGGCACGACCCGCCTCGTTCCCGGACGCAGGGAGCCCGAAAGGTCTGCCCTGGTGCCCGCGGTTGCAAAGGTTGACTTCTCCGCGCAGGAGCAGACAGTTCTACACTTCGCAGAGTGTGCGTCTAGGTACATTTTGTTTGGTCTCTGTGGCGGTGTTTGATCATCCTTGTGATTGTTTCGTGCTTATGTGAATTTCTAGGGTCATCTGCCCCTTACGGAGGACTGGCCGCTCGCACACTGATGGCCTTTGGTCCCTACCACGTTCGAGTGACTCTTTACCTGTCTTCGGGTGGCTTCAATTCGGAGAAGTTTTTCCTAGCGCTGAGCACTCGTTCCCCAGCAGCGTTTTCCTGAGTTCCCGGAAAACCCAGTAAGTAATCGCCTCGGCGACCTTTCGTCTCTCTCAGGTCTGATGAGACACTGGAATCCCGTGTTTCCCAGGCAAGGTGTGTGGATTATGAGAGAACTGCTTGAGATCCTTTTCAGAGGGATACGTAATGTGCTGTCCTCCAGGGCTCAGAAAGACCCGTTCATTCACAGAAACATCTCGTTAAGAACCAGGTTTGGGGATGTGCCTGTGCTCTTTCTGCCGCCGGCCCACCACATGCGGGTGCTGAGATTTAGTATTGGATTTCAAGACTGGGTCTGTTTTTTACTGTCCTCCGTGTCCTCTGCCTGTTAGTTTTCCTTTGGGTTTTTTGTTTTGTTTTGTTTTCCTAAAGTGAGTTCGTTCAGGGTTTGTTTGTTTGTTTGTTTGTTTGTTTGTGTATCATGAGGTTGGATGGGCTAGAGGACATCTCAAAGCCATCCTTAGGTAAGATCCTTAACACAGGTGCAAAGGGCAGGCAAATGGGCAGTGGGGGCTGCCCTGCTGCTCACCCGGGGATCACTCTTGAGGATGCTTCTCATCAGGTACCTTTCACTTTAGATTTCCCATCTTCCTCGTTCAGATAGCAGCCTATCAAGAGAAAAGAGACTAGATAAGTGATAGGCTTTTCATAGAAGATTTGTTTCCTGATGCAGTTTTGCTACTGAATGCACCCTCCTTAAAAATATTAAGAAGGCAATACTGTATTTAAATTGCTTAATTATGCAGCTAGTAGGGTTGTTTTATCTTGTTTGTGACCTAGCCCATAGAGAATATTAAATATCTTCTTGTGATTAAATATGCTTCATCTTGCTAAGCAGAGAGGCATCTTTTGCATACATCCACCACACACAGGACACCCTTTACATGCAGCACCAGCTGTTTATCTGTCATGCAGACGGACTTTTGAAGTGCATGCGAGTGAAGAGCCTTGTCAGAAATGACACTGACACTCCCTCAGGCCGTGCCCTGTCACCTTCACATGCTGGGAATGGTGGGGATGGCCAGCCACCTACCAGACTCAGCACTGTGCAAGGAACTCTGAGTTCTAGAAAGTGGGCTGGCTGTTCCATTTTTGTGATTTGAGTTTGAGAAACATTTATTTATTATTTTTTATTTCCATACCTAAAACAAAGTACTTTGAACAGCTCAATACACATTCACAGTTGCCATGAAGGAAGCCTCATGGTAAGATCAGTTCTGTTTTCCTCTGCTAATAATTAGCTCAGTTCACCAGATGTTACTTGACTTTTTGATGTGCACAGCCCTTCAGGGGTTAAGGGATAAATAACGAGGTGCTTGTGTATGACGGTGAATCAACCAGAGGCTTTATTTACAGGATCTTGAATTTCTTCTTTTTTTTCTTGTCTTTTTTTAATGAGGGCAGATGAAGGATGACAGAGATGATTGGTAAGCATGATTAATCATACAAGTCATTAAGTAAATTTGAAATTATGCATTTATTCTAAGAATGAAAAATTAACCCATCCCAGGCAAAATTCTCTGATTTGGCCTCTATTCTAGATTAAGGTAATTTGATCTAGAATAGATCAAACTTCTCTCTGGGTTTACTTCTCTTCCTATACTTGTTTGTCTTTTAATAGTCATTTCTGTATGATGCTTTTTATGTTTAATTAGTTATTAAGGAGAATTTTACAAAGGTAGGGCATGTTGTCTTATTATATTACTATAGTAATATAAAGCATCATAGTCCTAATTTTATAGATATTTATTATTGATCATAACGATAGATAAAAGAAAAAATAACAAAGCCTGTTAGTTAATGGCTTAGGGAATACAACAAAGAAGCTCAGAATGTAAGTGTATGAGTTGGCAGGATTCCTTGTAGCTAACATTTCTACCTACAGGATTCAAGCAAGAGGCTTAAGTAAAGAAGTCCTTGGTGTCCGTGGGTGGCCCAGCCTTTAACTTGAATTCAGGAAATCTGTCTGGGCATTCCTTGGCCATTGCAGGTAGAGGATGACAAGCTACTGAGCCAAATTCTGTGATCGCCTCAGTTCTGATTGTGACTTTGGGGATGTGTCTACAGGATATAGTGAGCAGCTCAGGCTTCGGACAAAGAATGTCTCCTTCAGGAGTTACTGACAAATGCAGCCACACTCATGTATACAGGTGGAGCCAAGAAACGGGCTTCATTTATCCTTTACGAAGTTTTGGTAATAAAAAGAAAGCCGGAAGGAAGAGAAATCCTGAGCTTTCTAGTAGCCATAGACACTTTAACAGCATCTGTGAGCAAAACGTGGCACAATCCAACCAAAGCAGTGCCAGGGTTTCACAGCTCCACAATCATATCAGAAACAGGACACATCACTAACATTTTCTGAGTTCCTAACTTTTAGATTCCAATCTGTGCAGAAGGGAAATTATTCAGTACAGTTTAACAATCTGTACTATGAGTTTGATTGTTGATGCTGATCTTGTCATAGACAGTAGTGAAAAGATATGGAAAAAGTAAGTCTACAATAGTTGTGAAAAGGGTCTCTTAAGATGACACACCTGAACTTAACTTCTGCTGGGAAACAAAAGGATATACGTCTGAAAGAACTTGCTTCAACTTCAGAAAGACAAGATGACTTAACCATGGTTAAAACACCAACTCCCTTCATTCAGGTAGCATTCAACATATACATTCACTCCCCAGAAGAAGCCAAAACAGTTGCTTTCCTAATTAATTTGTCATAATAATCATATATTGATTAAAAGTACCAGGTCATCTATCATCTATTGGCAAGGTTAGGTTCTTATTCACTTTCAGTTCCCTTGTGACAAAGATTATAACAGAGGGATACATTCTTCTCTTTTCTTAAATAGCATGATTATAACTTTAACTCAAAACACAATTAAATTCTATTGGGAAGGTTTTCAGGCCTCAGACTAACAGTCTTAAATTTTCAAAGAAATGGTACAAATGAACCATTTCAAAGGTTTGTAGTAAGTACAGATATATGGAGTAGGAGGAGCAAGAGGAAGACAAAAAAAGAATAGAAGGGGAAAGGAGAACAGGGAAAGGGGAGAGACAAAATTGAGTTTTGGAGTTCAAAACTAGCAGCATTTTCACTGTGCGTGCTATAATTCTATTTTATTTCATAAGGAAAATACCTTTATCACTTTTCTATAAAACAACGTGTTGTTTGTATCAAAGTTCTAATACAAAGCGCACAAAGTAGAGTATTACCATACCCATAACACCACCCTGTAACAGAAACGTCTTGGTGCATAACTTCTTGTTTTGCTTTTGAATCTAAAGTTGTGTATCTGTGTGCAGTAGGAGCAGTAGTAGCTGTTTTACAAAAATGGAATCATAATAAATCTAAAATTCATTTTCCTGACTTAGCCATACATGTCCAGAATCTTTCTATGTTTTCTAACATACAATCCTTTTCATTAGCATCAGAATACTGCACTGTATGGATCTTCCATCACCTAATTAACCAATTCTTGACTCATGGACATGTTTTTTATTGTATTAGTAGAGTAATATAAATCTTTATAGGCCTAGTTTTATAGACATTTATAGGCATTATTGTTATAATGACGATAATAGAAAAAATAACAAAGCTTATCAGTTAATGGCGTAGAGAATACAACAACGCAGAAGCTCAAGCTGTAAGTGCACGAGTTGGCATGATTCCTTTTAGCCAAATTCCCACCAACAGGACCGAAGCCAGAGGCTTAGGTGAAGAAGCACTGGGCTATAGAATAGATCTTTGTGCGTTCACCTTTTCAACTTATCTGATTTATTTTCTGGAGGATAAACTCTTAGGACTTAGTATTAAGCATCTGTCATACATTTTGAAGTGAAAGGGAAACAAATAGTAGACATTCAGGGCATCTTCTTGATGTCTGGCACATACAATATTTTCACCTGTAAAAGGTGTTTACTGACACTTTGCATTCATATAGAAAATTGCACAAACCATGAAAACATAAATTTGTAAGTAAATGGCACCCTGATCAAAAAAGAAAATATTTACCAATACCATTCCTGCCATATGCCTTGGCCACCTGTAATTTCTAACACTCTGCGGTGAGCTTATCTACCTTGGTTTTCACAATGAACATACTAAATCAAGGGCACCGCTTTTAAGAATGAGTGGTGAACTGTTGAGCTGGATGGAGGTCTCGGGTTTTCAGGACTCCTTGGCAACAGAGTTGGTCTAGTTCAGTGCAGTGACTTTTCAAAACCCCCCACACTGTCCCCTTTCTGTTAATCACTGTCAGTTTTCTTTTTATATATGTCTGTTGGACCCTGCTTAACACAGATTTTGACTTACACGATGCAAAACCTGTGTAAACAAAAGAAACTGAACATTCGGTTTTTGTCTACCCTCCTTTTGTTGACCGTCTCCCTCAGCTGTGAGCATAGCGTGGGTCTGAGTTTGGGTAAAAGAGCCCTGGGCTCCCAATTTGTAGCTTCTATCTCCAGCTCAGTGGAGCTTTCTCTGCACATCTTTTTCAGAAGAACACAAGTACGAACAACAACCTTCAAAATATACTTCACTTTTTGGCATCCCAGTTTCTTGATTTTGAAGCTTATAACCTTGAGTTTATGAAAAATCTTTTCCCTTTGTTATTGCTGTTTGGTTTGGGTTTTGTTTAGGTTGCTTACTTGTTTTTATATAAAGAGTAAAGTTAATATTGAGAGGCACTATAAGTGAAAAGAATAAATTAGGCACACAATGTTTGAAATTAGTTGTGCAGTGAATAACAAGAGAACATATTTGATTCTTTTTGTGTTCATCTGTTTTCGTTTCTCTTTTAGTTACTTTTCTCTCCTTGCTGAGTAAAGTACTTGACACCCAAAGTTAAAGGAGGAAAGGATTATTTAGCTCACAGTTTATAGAGGCTTTGGTCCATAATCAGCTGACTCTAAGGCAGGGTGGCACGTGACAGAGGGACAACCATTCATCGCAGTGGAAGACAGCAAAAGCAACAAGGGGCCTTAACAGCATCTTTCTGCCCCTTTTTTATTGTATATAGAC